TTGAGCTCAATGAGGGACATGATCTGAAGTCTTTGCTACAAAAACCTGCCAGGCCTCCAAAAAATCAGAAAGATCTGTAAATCATAGTTTTTAGCTCTCATTCTTTTTTTTTTTTTTTAATTTAGAGAAACAATGTTTACTAGGGGAAGCACTGTTTAAGAGGAAAGCAAAAATGCGAATGCACCAGGAAAAACATGTCACTATTTATCTCCGGATATACTGACATTTTATCCCACTTCTTACATTATTGCTCAATCTAATTTATAGTGCTGAATTTCTGGAATAAATGTAAACCCCAAATTATGCTAAAAATTGATAAAACCACAAATTGTCTTTAAGGAGAAAACTAAGAGGTCCACAGTGCCCCTGAAAATATTTCTCTGGCCATGATGCTGAGGCAAACCTGAGAAGTATCCCATAACCTTTTTCCTGAGGGATTTCTCTTAAACTACATGGAACTCTGGTAGCATAGTGGTTATGAGTCGGGCTGATAACCTCAAGATCAGCAGTTCGAAACTACCAGCCGTTCCACGGGAGAAAGATGAGACTTTCTGCTCCTGTAAAAGTTTACAGCCTCGGAAACCCTATGCAGGGTCTCTACGAGTTAGAACTGACTCCATCACACACCACCACCACCACCACCACCACCACCACATGGGACTAGTTACTTTTCAAAATAGAGCACTCAATTTTGCTGTTGACTGAATTGTTGCTTAATTAGAATAACTCTTATTTTTTCTGTTCATTCCATACTGAAGTTTCCAAGGAAGCAGGGAGAAGCCTCACAGGAGGCTTATGTCTGTTCTACTTAGAAACAAATCTGTTTCTACATTCTGCTCATTTCTTCCTTTTGCTTCTATGTCAGTGAAGGACTTTTTACCACCTGTCTGACAGCAGATCTCTCTCTCTGTAGATGTGGCAAATTTAGCTACTGCAATATTGTTGTTGTTGTTGCTAAGTGCCATTGAGTTGATTCCGACTCATAGCAACCCTGTATAGGGTTTCTAAAGCTGTAAATCTTTGTGGGAGCAGAAAGACTCATCTTTCTCCTGCAGGGTGCCTGGTGGGCTTAAACCACAAACCTGGTGGTTCACAGTCCAGTGCTTATCCTACAAAGCCACCATGTTTAATATTAAAGGGATCACAGAAGAGACAGCCAAAGTGGTTTTCATCAGGGCAGCCTCTTCCCTTACTTCCATTTCGTCATGTGGGATAGAGAAGCAGAGACTCTTGGGGGAGAAAAATACAGAGAATGGTGGTGGGAAAAGTCACTGGGCAGTTATAAGAGAGTTATAATTTGAAGCTGAGATATAGAAGAAGAGAGCAGGCTGATTCACAATTAATATGGATAGATCTATGTGGATGACTACACACAAAGAGGCCCAAACAAAATACTTACTCCTTTCAGTGAATCTGACTCCTAGGAACCCTATAGGACAGAGTAGAACTGGTCCAGAGCATTTCGGAGGCTATAAATCTTTACTTATGAAGATGAAAGAGCACAGCCTTCAGTATGGATTACATCTCAATGTCAAGAAAACAAAAATCCTCATCACTGGACCAATAAACAACATTCTTATCAATGGAGAAAAGATTGAAGTAGTCAAGGACTTCATTCTTCTTGGATCAACTATCAACACTCATGGAAGCAGCAGTCAAGAAATCAAATGACATATTGCATTAGGCAAATCTGCTGCACAAGACCTTTTTAAAGTGTTGAAAAAGCAAAGATGTCAGCTTGAGGACTAAGGTGCGCCTGACCCAAGCCATGGTATTTTCAATAACCTCTTATGCATGCAAAAGCTGGACAGTAAGTAAGGAAGACTGTAGAAGAATTGATGCTTTTGGGTTATGGTGTTGGAGGAGAATACTGAAAGTGCCATGGGCTGCCAAAAGAACAAATAGATCTGTATTGGAAGAAGTGCAGCCAGAATGCTCCTTGGAGGCCAAGATGGCCAAACTTCATCTCTCATACTTTGGACATATTGTCAGGAGGGACCAGTCGCTGGAGAAGGATATCATGTTTGGTAAGGTGCAGGGTCAGAGAGAAAGAGACCCATAGCAAGATGGATTGGCAATATGGCAGCATCAATGGGCTCAAGCATGGCAACAATTGTGAAGTTGGCCCAGGACGGGGCAGTGTTTTGTTCTGTTTGCATAGGGTCACTATGAGTCGGTACCAACTCAATGGCACCTAACAACAACAACAACAACAAATCTTTACGGGAGTAGACAGTCTCATCTTTCTCCCATGGTAGGTTCAAAAGGTTGACCTTTTGCTTAGAAGTGCAACACTTAACCCACTGTACCACCAGAGCCCTTTAAAAATGCAAAGATACTTGTAAAGGCACATTCTGGCCAATTCCCTTTTTTGGTTCTTCTCAAAGTATAAAAAACTCTCAAATTTTGTGACAGTGTCAACCATAATGAAATGAGAAAAAATACATCTCGGTTTTTCATAATATTAAAATTATTCAGTTTAAAAGTATGTCTTATATTCTGAGATTACATCCTGCCTTTTTTTTTTTTTTCTTAATTGTAAATTGGGTGAACATTGGTTTTACACTCATTTCATTGCAGTGATTACAGTCTCCTGTGTACATTATCATTCAATGGTATTTGCTTCTATTCCCTCTGTTTTTTGTGTGGGAGGCGGGGATGTACACAAAAACACCTGGGAATATATAATCATTTAAACAACCAAAGGGCACATTCTGCAAGCCTGCCTCCTGTCCACCAGCAACTGGCTGCTAGCACACAGCCTTTCTCTTTCCAGGAGTCTAGAGTCCTCAGCTGCTCTCTTTCCATGTCCTCATCTCTGCCTCCATCTCTAGTGTTGCTGCTTCCTGGATAGGGTCCCACATTCTTCTGGTTTTCTTCTCCCTTGATCTGCTTTTTTTTTTTTTTTTGTAGTCTTGTTAGGGATTGAATTATGTCCCTCAAAGTAAGTGTTGTAAATCCTAACCCCTATGCTTGTGGTTAGGAGTCCTGGAGGCACTGTAGGATAAGCACTGAGCTGCTAACCACAGGTTGGTAGTTCAAACCCACTAGCCCCTCCACAAGAAAAGATGAGACTTTGGGTTTCCAGAAAGATTTATAGCCTCAGAAGTTCTATGCAGGGTCACTCTGAGTTGGCATCAGAGTGGCTTGGTGGAGTGGCTATGCTTGTGGTTATGATCCCATTTGAGAATTGATTGTCTTTGTTATGTTAATGAGACAGGATTAGTGTTGGGTGTATCTTGAGTTGATCTCTTTTGAGTTATAAAGATTAAAAAAGCCAGCAGAACCGAGATGAGGGAAGAGAGATAATAAGCGACATGAAGATTATCCTCAAGCAAAAGCTCAGAAGAGATAAGGACCTTCTTCCAGAGCCAACAGAGAAAGAAAACCTTCCTCTAGAACTAGCACCCTGAATCCAGAACCTCCTTCTGGACCACAAGGCCAGTTCGAACGATAGGTTGGAGGTTCAAAATCACCAGCCACTCCTTGGAAACCCTATACAGGGTCACTGTGAGTCAGAACGGACTCAATGGCACTTAACAACAATTGCAAGAAAATTAATTTCTGCAGTATTGATATTATAGTTGTTGTTAAGTGCCCTCGAGTCTGTTCCGACCCATAGCAACTCTATATAGGGTTTCCGAAGAGTGGCTGATGAACTTGAACCACCAACTTTGCAGTTCAAACCGACCTTGTGGTAGAGTGCTTGTCATGCAGCACCATACCAAAACCCTGCTATTATAATGTTGTTTTTAAGTGCTGTCAAGTCAGTTCCAAATCATCGTGATGCAAATTACAGTATAGGGTTTCCAAGGAGTCGGGGGTGAATTTGAACCATTGACCTATGGTTCAAACTGACCTTGCAGTTCAGTGCTTTATCCCACAGCCTCACACTAGGTAATTAAAATAATTCCTAAAGTATTTCTTTTATGAAATGACAATGAAGGTAGATGATAACTGATTTTTTAATATTCATCTCCTTCACTTCCTGGCACCTCCCCCCTTCCCCCCACTTAAGTATTTCACTGATTTGTGAAACCAGAATGTCTGTGAATCTTTGATGTTGAAAAACACACACTAAATGGTAAAATGTTACCAACCTGTTAGTAATGATTCTTAATGAATTAACATAACTTTCCTGGGGGAAAAATTCCACAAAATCTTACTTTTCATTCTCAACAACAGCTCTCCCCCTGAAAATATCATACTAGTCATAAAAGTATATCATAGTAGTCATAAAAAATATTGGTAAATGGTTAATAAAACATTTCTCATCACCTCTAAAAAGTTGACAGGAGTGAATTTAATCATAGCAATAAATACAGACAAAACTATATAAATCAAGGAGGCCCTGATGCAAAACTTTTCCTGTAGTCGATGGGCTGCTCAGCTTTCTCATCTGGAATGGACCAAGAAATGAAATACAATAAAAATCATAGCAATAAAAATTTTTCAAAACAAAATTTACACTCTCAGGTAGTACAAGGGGGCTTCAAAAAGTTCATAGAAAAATGGAATCGTAAGATTCGCACAGATTTTTTGAAAATCCTCTCATCTGTCTTTGTTCTTTTTACCCACTGTCAGTTTGGCATATGCTGTTAGCCAGCAGACTAAAGGAATCTCCAAAGAGAAGATAGTTTAGGATGGAGACTATAGTGCTGGTTTTGTTGGGAAAGAGTATAGCACCAGTGGTTTTCTTCAGAGTAGGCCCTCTCAGTTATTGATACTGTGTGGCAATAAAATGCAGTTGCAGAAGCATTAGCCCGAAATTGCTTAAACAGGGTACAGGCTTAAAACCAAGGTGTTTGCAACCTTCCAATGTAAGCTCGTCTTCGAAACCTTCTGTAGTGAAGACAGATTCTCCTCCTCCCTCTATCCTCCTCTAAACCCCTTCACCTTCCAGCACCTTCCATCTCAGTAGGAGTTTGCCCTGATGGGCTTAATGATGTGTCACTGTTGTCATCTGCTTATGGAAAATCACTGAGCCCAGTCCAGCGTACTTACAGTGCAGTTCCACTCTGAGGGCCTTGATCCTTTATGCAGAGCTAAAAGCAAATACAAAAGGGGAATACGTTTGCCTGCTTTTCCAAAGACCATGGGTACACATTTTGATTGCATCAAGGTACCTCAGAGGACAGGTGCTATGGAAATGCAGACACCTCTGCTTTGGCCCAGGTCTCATTTGTTTGGCCACATGGATGATTTCCACTGAATTTAGAGATGTACTTCTTAAATCAAGATGCCTCTGGGTTCTTAGGTGATTGAGCATTTCATTCATTTTTTCTTAAATCATGGTGAGTATATCTATCTATAGCATGCATATACATATATAACAAAAAATTTTGCTGTTGCAATATTTTTTATATATACAACCCAGTGGCATTAATTATGTTCATCATGTTGTGTAACCATCACCAGTATCCATTTTCAAAATTTCCCATCACCCTTAATAGAAGTTCAGTGCCTCTCAAGTAAAGGCACCTCTTTCTCCTGTCCCACCCATCTCTGATAAACATGAGTAGACTTTGGTCTCTATAATTTGCCTCTTCTAGATATTTCCTATAAGTGGAAGCATTTCCTTTGGAAGACATTGTTCCTCAGAATATCAATCAGCTACCACATGTTTCAAAAAAAAAAAAGTTTCTGCCTAGGGCCCAATGGACTTTCCTAAAAAGTCTTCTGCCATGTTTGCCGTTTTTTGACACTGGGTTAACTAGCAGAGTCAAATGCATTATATTAACTTAGGTATGCAGGTACTCTGAATCATGCTAACTAATGAGGTTAACCATTCAAACGTTAGCCTCACTACAGCTATACCCAGGCATGTGGTTGGACCCAAGAGGTAAAGTAGCAAATGCCATCTTTTCAATGCAGATCTCTGAATCCAGAGCAGACATTCCTCCCAATAATCATTTATTGCACACTGGTTACCATAGCAACACTAAAGGGACATTAAAAAGGAAGAATAATCAAGTCCAACTCCTTGTCCTAACATCACAGTTATTTTCATTCATGGCCTTATCCACATGCACTTGTGTTCTCTGAAAAGCTTTATTTTGATACACGTGCAATTTATATTCCCTAACTTCTTTATAGATCCCATGGTAGAAAGACAAGATTCAACTTTGCCCAGCAATGGTTCCTAATTCTAGTCATTTTATAGCCAGTTTCCTGTCTTTATTTAGTAAATTCAGCAGATTCATGTGATAACTTTTTATCTAATAGCTTAGAATACTTAGATACCTTCATTATTCTCTTTCTTCTAGCAACCACTCCAAAGCACAGTGTCAGAAAGACTACAACACATGCAGCAGCAATGGGTTCTATTGGTATGGTCTGCTTTTTATCTGTTGGAAATGCAAACACCAAGAATGAGAACCAACATTTACACGCTTCTACTTTATATCTAAGGAGCTCTGGTAGCGTAGGGGTTATGAGTCAGGCTGCTAACCTCAAGGTCAGCAGTTCGAAACTACCAGCTTTTCCACAGGAGAAAGATGAGGCTTTCTGCTTCCGTAAAGATTTACAGCTTTAGAAACCCTATACAGGGTCGCTACGAGTTGGAACTGACTCCATGGCACATAACCACCACCACCACCACCACCACTTTATGTCTAGTGGAGTCCTGATGTGATGATGTGGGATAAAGCACTGGACTGTAAGGTCAGTTTGAACCACATGGTCAGTGGTTCAAATGCACCAGCAGTGCCTTGGAAACTCTGTACAGGGTCACTGTAAGTCAGAACTGACTTGATGGCACTTAACAACAACAACAGCTTTATGTCTAAGGAGCTCTGGTAGTGTAGTGGGTTATGTGTTGGTGGCTAACTGCAACGTCAACAGTTTGAATCTACCAGCTGCCCCTCAAGAGAAAGACGATGTTTTCTGCTCCCGTAAAGATTTACAGCCTCAGAAGCCCTGTACGGGATGACTATAAGTTAGACTGACTTCATGGCCCACCACCACCACCACTAACACCAGTTTTGTCTGAAGTCCTGCTTTGGCACTATAGGATAAGCATTGGATTTGCACCACAATGTTGGTGGCTCAAATCCACTAGGTGCTCCTTGGAAACCTCATACTGGGTAACTATAAGTCAGAACTGATTTGACGGCCCTTAACAACAACAACTTTATGTCCAGAGTCCTGGTGTGGCGCTGTAGGATCCTCACAGTTGTTATGTATGAACCCATGTTGCTTCCACTGCGGATGCATCTTGTTGGGGATCTTCTTCTTTTTTGTACACCCTCCACTTTACTGAGCATGATGTCCTTCTCCAGGGACTGTTCCTTCCCCACAACATGTCCAAAGTATAAGAGGCAAAGTCTCACCATCATCACTTCTAAGGAGAAAACTGGCTGTCCAAAACTGATTTATTACTTCTGGCAGTTCATGGTACTTTCAATATTGCTCACCAACAACACAATTCGAATGCATCAATTCTTATATGGCCTTCCTTATTTATTATCTGGCTTTTGTATGCATATGAGGCAATTAAAAATACCATGGCTAAGATCAGGTTCATCTTAGTCCTCAAAGTGATACCTTCACGTGCGACACTTTAAGGAGATCTTTTCAGCAGATTTGCCTAATGCAATGCTTTGTTTGATTTCTTAACTGCTGCTTCCATGCGTATTGATTGTGGATCCAAGTAAATTGAAATCTTTGAAAATGTCAATCTTTTCTTCATTTATCATGATGTTATTTACTGATCCAGTTGTGAGGATTTTTATTTTCTTTGCATTGAGATGCAATCCAAAAACAAAAGTTGTAGTCTTTGATCATCATCTGTAAGTACTTCAAGTCTTCTTTCCTTTCAGCAAGCAAGGTTGTGTCACCTGCATAGTGCAGGTTGTTAATGAGTCTTCCCACAATCTTGAGCCTATGTTTTTCTTCATATAATCCAGCTCTCATGATTTGTTCAGCATATAGATGAAGTAAGTATGGTGAAAGAATACAACCTTGACACACACCTTTACTGATTTAAAATCATTCAGTATCCTCTTGTTCTGTTACAAACAATTGCCTATTGGTCTAGGTTCAGGTTCCTCATAGGCATAATTAAGTATTCTGGATTTCTCATTCTTCACAATGTATCCATGGTTTGTTAGGATCCACAGATCCTAACAAATGATCCACAGATCCTAACAAATCCACAGTGTCTGACCCACAGCAGTCTCTCAATAAATATTTATTGACTCACTTCAATTCACAAACTAAATTGTACAATAAATAATGCACTATTTGTTTCCTTTCACTTAGTTTTTATAAATCATTTCAAAACATTTACAGTTGACACTATACTCAATGTATTATATATAGTTTACAGATTCATTTTGATATAATTAGGAAGCAAACTATCTGATTTCTAATTTATGTTGTGACTGATTTAAATATTCTCCCATAGTAACTTTAATAAAAATATTTTTACCTTAAAAAAAAGTATACTTAAGGTGCTTCATCTCTTATGTTTGCTACAATATATTGTGACCCTTCAAAAGTAAGAATATGTGAATTCTTACACATACAACAAAAAATGTTGTTGTTGTGAAGTGCTGTTCAGTTGGTTTCAACTCATAGCGACACTGTATAGGGTTTCCAAGGAGCAGCTGATGAGTTTGAACTGCCTACCTTGTAGTTTGAACAGAACAAGGGGACACTGAATGATTTAAAATTAGGAAAGGTGTGTGCCAGGGTTGTATTCTTTCACCATACTTATCTGTATGCTGAGCAAATAATCGGATAAGCTAGTTTATATGAAGAAGAACGTGACATCAGGATTGGAGGAAGACTCATTAACAACCTGTGATATGCAGATGATGCAACCTTGCTTGCTGAAGTGAAGAGGATTTAAGATACTTGGTGATGAAGACCAAAGACCATAGCCTTTGGTATGGGTTGCACCTCAATGTAAAGAAAACAAAAATCCTCACCAATGGACCAATAGATAACATCAAGGTAAATGAAAAGAAGATTGAAGTTGTCAAAGACTTCAACTTGCTTAGATCAGCCATTAACATTCATGGAAGCAGCAGTCAAGAAATCAAATTGTGCAGCATTGGGCATTCTGTTGTACTTAAAATCTCTATGAGTCAGTACCAACTCAATGGTATCTAGCAACAACAATAACATCAACACCTTGTGGGTCCCAGTCCAGTGCTTACCCTAGAGCGCCACATCTGTAAAGTAAACAAAGTGTTACAATGACTCTGCCTAAATTCCTGGATTCTAGTGCCACCTAGGGAACACAAGGGGCTCCAATCATGACTTGATGGATGAAATTTTCCACCCACAAGGGAGCTGGGATCATGGAATAAAAATTAAGTGAAAGGAAACAAATAGTGCACTATTTAGTGTACAATTGAGTTTGTGAATTGAAGTGAGTCAATAAATATTAATTGAGAGACTGCTGTGGGTCAAACACTGTGGTTGACCCTGGAAAAACTAGGACCTGGCCCCTGCCTTCCTGGAGCTCTTATTCTAGCTGGGGAGACAGACATTAAAGAAGCAGAAACTCCAAATTGATTTAAGTGTTATAAAGGAAATAGAGTCATGAGATAGATCCCATAACCCATTGCTGTGAAGTTGATTCCAGCTCACAGTAATTCTATAGGACAGAGTAGACCTGCTCCATAAGGTTCCCAAGGCTATAGATATTTACAGAAACAAATGGCCACATCTTTCTCCTAAAGAGCAGGGTTAAAACTGCAGGATCAGCACTGGTCTGCTAGCCATTAGGTTGGCGGTTCAAACCCACCAGCTGCTCCTTGGAAACCCCATACAGGGTCACTATGAGTCAGAAATGACTGGATAGCATTTAACAACAACAGTCCTGGGTTGCACCAGGCCTACATGATAAAAGATGAAGCTGTCTGCTCCTGCAGATTTCGTCTTGCAGCAATCGACTCTGTCCTATAGGGTTGCTATGAGTAAGAATCGACTCGGTGGCAGTGGGTGGTGGTAGTACAATGGTTATGCACTTGGCTGCTAACCAAATGGTCAGCAGCTGCTTACTGTGATAAGGGCAGTCTGCTGCCATAAGATTTGTCGTTGCTGTTGTTAAGTGCCCTCGAGTCGGTTCTAACTCATAGCAACCCTGTATAGAGGGTTTCCGAGGCTTTACATCCTTAAGGAAGCAGAAAGCCTCATCTTTCTTCTGTGGAGCAGTTGGTGAGTTTGAACCACTGACCTTGTGGTTTGCAGTCCACTGTTTATTGAATGGAGTCATCATATGGGGCCCCTGTGAGTTCTATAGGGTCCCCATATGATGGCAGTAGGTTTGGTTTTTGTTTTTGGTAAATGGATGAATCACGGGAACAACCATTGAAGCAATTTCACTTTGTGATTTCCCAATTTAAACTGTACTTCTATTCCTACAATAAACTTTCTCTATATGACTTTTTCAACCAGATGTTTTTCTTCAGTCACTTCTGTAACACTTTCAGTAAGCTCTGAATCGCCAGCATTGGAATACCCCAAAGAGGTTTCACTTAATGGGAACACCCTTCACTTATATGTCAAAAAGAGATACCAAAACAAAGGGGACACCAAGGTAGCACAATAAGGAAAATAGTATGATCAAAGTTTAGACTATTTTCACCAAGTCAAATAAAATGAAGCCCCATGTTGGGGCTCTGGTAGCATAGTGGTTACAAATTGGGCTGTGAACCGCAAGGTCAGCAGTTCGAAACTACCAGCTGTTCCGCGGGAGAACGATGAGGCTTTCTGCTCCCGTAAAGATTTACAGCCTCGGAAACCCTGTACAGGGTCGCTATGAATCGGAACCGACTCCCCGGCACATAACAACAACAACAACATGTTGGCAGTCACTCCAAAAACGAACCAAAACCCATTTACTCCCTTTGGATTCCAAATTTCTGCTGACAGGGGCTTTTACGGTACCACTTGCCACAACTAAGTGTAATGTGCTTTTCCCATTTTTATACTCTCATTTGTAACCCGATCTGATATTTCCCCCATTTGCATGATGGTAAAATAATTCTAAGACATGAGCTAAATCTTGTGCTCAACAAAAGATCTGTGATGTCATTTACAGTTTGCATGGCTGGTGTGGTGCTGTGGGATAAAGCACTGGACCACAAGGTCAGTTTTAGCCACAATGTCAGCAGTTTATGCTCACCAGCCACTACTTGGAAACCCTATACAGGGTCGCCATGAGCCAGAACCAACTCCACAACAGTTAACAACAACAACATGGCCTCCTTTAGAAAGTACCCCTTTGCCCGGGGAGGCTAGGAGAGACTCAAGATAAACTCAGCATTTAGCCTGTGTGCCAGTTTCAGAGCGTGTATGTGGCAAAGACAGCCTACAGCCAGGGAAGTATCAAGGCAGGAAGGAATCAGAAAAACAAGTCGGTTTGGAAGCGCTCCACCCAAAACAGGATCCTGCCCACCTGAAGGGCAGTGTGCCAAGCCGGCATCCTGCTTGCCACGCAAAATGTGTATTTTTCATGTGACAGAGCAGTTAGGATTCCTTTTAACCAAGAAGGATGACATAATTCCCTAAGTGTGGGCTTTACAGCCAGTTAGGATGTCATGGCCTGAGGCCCCACCAACCGTAGTTTTGTGGTTCTGGGGGAGGTGAAGAGCCACAAATGTGAAAGTGATGCTCCTTCCACCAGTACTTAGGTTATTTGTGGTTTCGGTTTGGGAAGCAAGTAGCTCCTGGGCACACTGTCGCTGCTCTGAGGGACAAATCAATGAGCATGCCAGGAATCACAGTGGTGGGCATTCACTGGCCACTCTAGCTCCCCACTAGCCACTTTGTTGTTGTCACCAGAACTCTGTGGGGGAGCTCCAATGAGATGGATTGGCACAGTGAAGACAGCAGTGGGCTCAAGCATAACAACAATGGTGAGGATGACGCAGGATTGGGCAGTGTTTCATTCTGTTGTGCATAGGGTTGCTATGGAAATGACTCCACAGTACCTAACAACAACAACATGATCATATCAAGGATCTCTGGTGGCACTGTGAGTTAAGCATTGGGCTGGTAACCCACCAGTCACTCCTCAGGAGATAAATGAAGTCATCTGCTCCTGTAAAGAATTACCTTCTCAGAAACCCTATGGAGTAGTTCTATTATGTCCTAAACAGGGTCACAATGAGTCAGAATCGACTCAATGGCTCTGGGCTTTATGGCATATTAGTTGAATTCTTCTGGCAGAGGTTCAGTTGGCTTCCTGGAGACTGGCAAGAACAGTAATGAGTGGGCACAGGGAGGCAAATGGCAAAGTGTTTTAATAAGCTCTAGGAGCCCTAGCTTATTTGGCTGTTCACAGCATGCTGGCCTAAGACCAGGCAATGTGAGGATGAGCATGTTCTGCATCTGCCATTCCAGGTATCTTGCCCTCCTTTCTGTATGAGCAAGAAATAGGAGGAGGCAACGATGCTTAGCTTCATTTGTTCCCTGTTATTGCAGAGGCGTTAAAGCTAGGAACATAACACATGAAGCCATTGTTTGTGTTTTTCCATTTCTACTTCCTATTCTGAGTAGCCTGTAGGTTACAATTTCAGAGTAAGAAGTAATCTTAAAGATTCACTTTTTATCTAGCCAGCATCTTTCTTCTCAGTCCTTCTCATTTCCCTTTGTCAAAAGTTCAGTTCTTACAAACCTTGTTACTCAGGAGAATTCATGGAAACACTCCTCTCTAAAAGTCAGATCAGGAGTTCCTTGCTGTTGCAAATAGTTAATGTGTTTACTGCTAACTAGTTGAAAGTTTAGGTCTACCCAGAGGTGCTTCAGAAGAAAGGCTTGGTGAACAACTTCTAAAAAATCAGCCACTGAAAACCCTATGGAGCATAGACAGTTCTACTTGGGCTCACCATGAGTCCAAATGGACTCTGTGGCTATTGGTACTGTTAAAAGCCAACCAGAATTGCTCCCCAAACAATGTCCTATCTGAGATGGGCATAACTCCCTGGATCCTTAGTGAAAGAATTGCCAGGGTGGAAATAATTTTCTTAAGAAAATCCTAGCTATTAATCATATCTGTCAATATTTGTTGTCATCAAAAACATTTACTGAGTATCTATTCTAAAGTTTGCATCATGCCAGTGACTACTTAGAGATTGTGTTGTGTGCAACAGTTACCTTTAACAATCAGAAGAAAGTCCTTAGTACTTCTTCCCAACGGTGAAATTGCGACACAGCTGTAGGTTCCATTGTCAGATTTCTTGACTTTGGTGATTGATAGCTGCAAAGACTCACTTGTAAGATGGATTTGATGATGGTTTTTCTCTAAATTCAGGATGCTGTCGTTTTTGTACCACATCATTTGAGCCTGGGGGTTGGATTTCACATTGCAAACCAACTGCACATCACTCCCTTCTTCAGCTGTTTGGACATGGTCTCCACTTAGTTGAGGATGAACTGTCAGATTCAAGCATTTAGGTTTAATTATCAGAGAAACAATAGTTCACAGTCAATATTCAAGGTCTTCCTTCAGTCTATCTCATGCATTCATTCATTTGACAACTTTTTATTAAGTATGTGTTGCACGCCAAATTTGGGGGCTAGCACATGGGAACACAGTTGGGAAATAAGACAGATTCCGTTTCAAACCTTATAGAACTTTTGATGTGATCGAGAAGGCAAGCCATGAGTCAGCACCAAAAATGAACCTGCATGAAGTAGTCATTTTTTAAGAAATCCAAGAGTATAAGCCTTGGGTTGTTGCTCTGTGATGGCTAATACAACAACCTGTGCTAGTGTTGGAGAGAGCAGTATAATATTAAGAAAACAGGCATTTGCGACTAGCTCCAATTCTATCTATATCACTCACTATGACCTTGAGAAAGTGACTTAACTGCTAAGATCTCAGTTTCTTCATGTGTGAGGTAGGATAATAATACCTGTCTTAGAAATTTCTGTGAAGATTAAATGAGCTCATTCCTGATAAGAATTGACCACAGTGCTGGCTGCTATTGTTATTGTGTTGGTGGCAGTGGTGGTTGTTCTGAGAGCTGCTCAGCCCTCTTTTTGCATTTTATCGAATCACATTTGCCTTAACTACATATTTACTAGGAGTCCTGGTGTGGCACTGCGGGTTAATGCTCTGGGCTGCAAGATCGGTTTGAACTGCAAGGTCATTGGTTCAAGCTCACCAGCTGCTCCTTGGAAACCCTATAAAGACAGGGTTGCTATAAGTCTGAACCAACTGTACAGTAGTTAACAACAACAACAACATTTGCATTACTTAAAAATTCTCTAGAAATAATGTCATTGTTAATATCAACTTATCATGATATCTTTGAATCTGTTCTTCATGTTTCTGGTTTTTGCCTTTATATCATTGTTGTTGTAAAATGCCGTGGAGTTGGTTCTGACTCATAGCGACCCTACATAGAGTTTCCAAAGCTTTAAATCTTCTCAGGAGCAGAAAGGCTCAAGTTTCTCCCAAGAAGCAGATGATGGGCTTGAACCGCCAACTTTGTGGTTCATAGTCCAGTGCTTATCCTTCTTGTTGTTGTTGGGTGCCATTGAGTCAGTTATGACTCATAGTGACCCTTTGCACAACAGAACAAAACACTGTCTGGTCCTGTGCCATTCTCACAACTGTTGTTACACTTGAACCCATGGCTGCTGCCACTGTGCCAATCCATCTTGTTGGGGATGCTTATCCTACAACTCCTTTTACTGAATAAAATTGTCCTGGTGGTATAGTAATTAAGCACTCAGCTGCTAACCAAAAGGTCAGCGGTTTGAACCCACCAGCCACTCCACAGTCTGCTTCTGCAAAGAGGTACAGCCTTGGAAACCCTATGGGGCAGTGCTACAAAAAGTGGTCCTATGATGACAACTCTGGCATCTGTGGAAGGTAAGCATGACTTTCTAAACTCTTTGTATCCCTCCATGTAAGTAACTCTTTACTCCCTCCACAATAAGGGCAGTTGTAGACCCACAGACAGGAGTCCCTGGGTAGTTCAAACAGTTAATGCACTTGGCTCCTCACCAAAAGGAGTCCTAGTGTGGGGCTGTGGGATAATGCACTGGACTACAAGCAAGGTTGGTTTGATCCTCAAGGTTCAAATCCACCAGCCACTCCTGGAAACCCTATACAGGATTGTTATGAGTTGGAACCGATTCAGCAGCACTTAACAACAACTAACCAAAAGGTTGAAGTTTCAAGTTCACCAAGAAGTCCCTTGAAAGAAAGGTCTGGTGATCTACTTCTGTAAAGTCAAAAATATTATGAGACAAAGTTATACTCTGACACACATGGGGTTGTCATAGTCGGAATCGGCTGGTAGACGACAACTGGTAGACTTCCAGCTAGCCAAATACATTATCTTTACCTGATCATTCCAACCTTCACCCCCTACTACGGCTTTTCAACATCTAGGGAAACACCAGCTGAACTGACTTTCTTCTCTTCTCCATGTCCCTTGCATTTTCTGGCAAAGGTGCAGAAGAGTAATAAAATTGTTGAAGAGTAGGCAGTAAGAAAGAGAAAGAGGCGGACAAGGAGGAAAAAAAGTAGCTTGTATAATCTGCACACTGAATAATTAGGCTCTGAGTAGGCCGCACTATTAATAACTCTCTCAGAAGAATGACATTTTGTTGCTCTTTGGAATGAGCTTGAATTCTGTACCCAAATCCAGCAAATATGTTGTATGGTATTCAGATATGAAGAAAGCTGTTAGAATAGAGAACCCAGCTCCCAAATCAGTTTTTGCTTTTGATTTAACTATTTAAAATTAATTTTAAGCATATAAATGAGAATATTCTGTTTAGAATTTAGCATATTTCAGGTAAGGCTAAAGTCCTCTTTGATTCCAGACTGGTCACCTCTGCCCTCTCCAAAGATATCCACTACTATGAATTTGGTGTAAATCCTCCAGGTCTTAGAAAAAGGAATATATATATATATATATTATGGGAGTGTGGTAGCTCCATAGAATAAGCACTGGACTGCAAACCACAAGATCAGATGATTCAAGCCCACCAGCCGCTATTTGTATAGTTTTAAGGGGAGAGGGGTGATATCATAAGAATTTGCATAGAAGACTTTATTTTCTAATAACTTGCATTTTTTCATGATATATCCACATTGAGCCACAAAGATCAATTCCTTCCTTTTAGCATGCTATATAATATATGACTCTTTAATAATTTTGTATGAGCATTAGGTTGTTTTCATCTTTAAAATGTTAAACAATGCTATATAAATATCCTGTCTATATCTTTTTATTCATACGTGCTTGTGATTCTTCAAGATTAATATCTGGAAATGTAAATGCTGCGTCATACAGTAGATACATATTAAATTTTAATAGATATTACAGAAGAGGTAATCCCAATTAATGCTTTCAGCAACAATGCACGAAAGAACCTGTTTCATCACTTCCTCCAATTACTGTATTACCAAACTTCCATTTAGTTCTTGATCTGCTATTTTATAGTAATAATATTCCCTTTGGATTGTACATAATATTCTTGTCACTTAAATAAGGTCATTTGATTTATCAATGATGAGTTAATGTCACTTATTATCACTATGAATCATGACCAATTGGTTATTTACATGCATGTGCTTCGCAATAATGGTATTTATTATATTAATGATAACAATGATACTTAAGGTTTTGTTAAAAATAGTATGTGTTAAGTAGATTCAGGCTGGAGAACTGTACATTTATCTTAAGCCATCAAATTATAGTATGGGTATGTCTGCCAAATCTCCTTCAATGTGAAGAACACTGGATTAGTAGCCTGGGAATTTGTGTTGTGTCCTCTGCTCCAACTATAATTTGGACCCCCAGCCTGTGCCTCAGTTTTCTCATCTGGCATTTCATGAAACCCCCAAATTCCCTCCAATAGTCTTAGATTTCATCAATGTAGCCAAGAATGTAGCTTGCTAAAAATCACATTTTATCATTTATGTAAAATAAAAAAACAAACTCCCAGGAACATAAAAATAATTCACTCTGGAAACTTCAAGCTGTTTCCAGAAATGAGTTCTTTGGCACTTTTTCCATCCTTATATCTCAGGAGGAGTGGCATAAATTTTTTACAGAAAAGTTTGCTGAGCTCACTGGAGTCAAATGGTTTTGATTTATATTACTAGATTCTGAGTCTAGAGCTCTTTTAACCAAATCACACCATATTATCCCACCTACTCTATACAGGAGTTCTGGTAGCGTAGTGGTTACGAATCGGGCTGCGAACCTTAAGGCCATCAGTTCAAAACTACCAGCTGTTCTGCAGGAGAAAGATGAGGCATTCTCCTCCCATAAAGATTTACAGCCTCGGAAACCCTGTACAGGGTCGCTATGGGTCACAATCGACTCAACGGCACTTAACAACAACCAACAACAACTCTATACCATACCTCACTCATGCAAAACCCTACCTTCCACTCACATCACCTACCTGATTACCTATGTTTTATCATTTGAAGGACCCCTATACTGAAATGAAGGAGCCCTGGTAGTACAATGGTTAAGCACTAAGCTGCTAACTGAAAGGTCAGCAGTTCAAGCCCATTAGCTAGCTGCTCCTAGGGAGAAAGATTTAGCAATCTTGACCCTGTGAAAGATTGCAGGCAGTTCTACTCTGTCCTGTTGGGTCACTGTGAGTCAGAATCAACTCCACAGCAGTGAGTTTCTTTTCTGTTTTTTTTTTGTGTGTGTGTGTATGGTGAAATGAATTTATGTAGACTTGGTTCTTTGGAAAAACAGCTTCAGAGATTTTCCTCCTAAACTCAAAGGAGGTACCTTTGCCCTAATATGTACACTAGAGGGTTACTTTTCTCCAAGTTGATCGACATATCCTGGGTAAACTGTAAACACACTGACTTTTTGTGTGGGCTGTGATTGGTAAACTTGTAGGGATCAGCCAGTATGTATACCCATACAAATGAAGTGATTATAGACCATTTAAATGAGTTAACTAAGGCCTACTATGTAAATGAAGTGTCTGTAACCTACTCAGAGGGGATTGTTCAGATTATGCACCCCTCCTCCCATGGGCCATAACCTTGAAATGGACAAAAATTGAGAAAGCTTCAAAAATTCATGGAAAAAATGGAGTTGAAAGATAATGGAAGTTTCCCATTAACTTTTGGAAACCCCATGTGTATAAATACAGTCAGTTCCACAGAGGTTTTTTTCAGACAGGAAAAAGCAGGCAGAGAAGCAGTAGTAAGACGTTGAAGGAAGAAAGCAAGCAAGAAGAAGTAGAGAGAGAGAGGCTTGGAAGAACCTAAAGGAGTTGTAACGTGGGTTGAGGGCTATAACACTGAAGACAGTGAAAGGGCCAGAGGGGGCCAAGAAGCAGCGCCAGTGATGACAGATGGCTGGACCAAAAGGAGCCTGTCCTCAGGAAACCTAGAGGAGACTGGCACAGCAGGAGGAGCTAAGAGAGCTGTCCTGCACTGGAAAAGGGAGACTTTGCCTACACACTTTCTGATGTCATTCCTGAGTTGTAGCCTGTGATCCTGGTCTCAAGTAGTAGTACTCAGTACCTTATTAAACCACTTTAATTGTAATAGAGTTTGTGGCTTCTGTGAGATGTTACAGTGAACCCCAAATGGGGGAGGAAAAGTGCTGAGTGGAGGGAGAGCTGGTGGTATCAGAGATGGAGTGGTTCAGCAGCTTGGAGAATGTGGAAATCTGCAATCTATTGGACCTCTGTCTCATAGGAATTGGCTCTGTGCTAGTCCTTACATTTGTAGTTATTTGTGCTACCCCTAACCCACATCCTTACACTAGTGTTCTACCCATATCTGGCGTTCAACCAGTACAGAGCTTCTTTTTTTGCTTTGTTTTAAGATGATGTTAAAAGATCTCTAATAAAGGTCTTTCTATGCAGAACACAAAAACTAGAACTGATAAAGGAAAAGCTGGATTATTGTAAATACATAAATATTTAAAACTTCAACATGGCAAAAGTAATTATAAGCAACATCAAAAATAATTTGGGGAAATAGTTATAATCCAAATCACAAAGAGCTAATTTCTTTCATTTACCAATCGATAGGAAGCCTGGTGTGCCACTATAGGATAAGCACCAGACCACAAGGTTGGTTTGAACCACGAGGTTGGTGTTCAAACTCATTAGCTGTACCTCAGAAACCCTATATAGTGTTGCTATGAGTTGGAACCAACCCGATGGCACTTAACAACAACAAAAACAAATCAATAAGAAAATGTTAAATAACCCAATAGAAATATGAGTAAAGGTCATGAGCAGGCATTTCATAGGAAAAGAAAAATTGCTAGCCAAAACATTTATAAAAAGATGATCACCCCCTCACTCTTAATTTAAAAAATGAAAATAAAATGTCATATCAAACCGGCAAATTCTTAGAGTTTGAGGATATCCAGGACTTATGAGGGTGTGGGGAACAGGCCCTCTCATGCTTTGTGGTGGGAGCATAAATCAGGCAATTTGCAGTGTCAAGCAAATATTGACATGCACGTAGTAGATTTCAACTACCATTTGACACGGTACAGAGAACATAGCCTAACTAGCAGTTTCTTTCCCCACACTCACAAGTCACATTCAGCACCACTGAGATGGACATTGACTGATCGCTCTTCAGCTTGCAGGTGAAGGTGACTCCATTGTCATTTTCACTGATGGAAGAGACACAGACAGAGCTGGAGTTGATGCTGTTTTCAGATTTCAAATCCACTCTTCCCTCTTCCCGGTACCAGAGAAGTTCTTCATCTCTGGTGTGATTTTGGATGGCACATATCAGAGACTCTTGGAAGTCAAGTTCAGTGTCCAGGATATAGTTCTTAGTATTACCATTCACAGTTAAAACAGAGCCTGGGTATACAAGAAGAAACTATTAAGATGAACAGAGTAAACAACCCATACATCCATCAGCAGTGGATTGGCTAAACAAATTGTTATATCAATATAATGAAATACTTGGCAATAATTTAAAATAGTTGCATTAATCTATATGACTTAACAAGGGAAAAGGTCCATAATGTATTATTAACTAAAAAATGTAAATAAGTTATGACAGTAGCTACCAAATTTTGTTGCACATTGGAATCACTGGTGGATATTTAAAAACAAAAAAAAAACAAAAAAAATTGTTTGGTTCTCATTCCCAGATATGCTTATTTAATGTATAGGAGTGCAACCTGGATATAATTTTTTTAAACACTCCAAGTGGTTCTAAAGAGCAATGAAATTTGAAAACCACTGGATCATTTTATATCAGCTGACCTAGATGTCCACTGAGACTGTGGTCCTAAATCCCCAATGATTCATTCCCTTGAGTTGTTTGGTTATGGCTAAGAAGTTTTCAGAATTTTCCCGCTGTATGTTCTAATATATATGCATGTAGCAACACAATTATGTATGTAGAAATATCCTCTGTGAAACCTATATATACTGTGGGTATACTCTAGTTCACCATGCCATACTCATCAGTATTTCTTATTGTAACTATTATTGCAGGACTATGTATGTAATAGTATTTACTTTTGTTGTCATTTACTCTTGTGCACCTCCCAATGTCTTCTTTTGCCATTGGTCATGTTGTGCTGCCCTCCCCCTTATTGTATGTTGACTTTCTCTTCACCCACTGAAGTTGTCAAAGACTTCATTTTGCTCGGATCAGCCGTCAACACTCATGGAAGCAGCAGTCAAGAAATCAAATGACTTATTGTATTAGGCATCTCTGCTGCACAAAACCTCTTTAAAGTGTTGAAGAGCAAAGATGTCAGTTTGAGAATTAAAGTGTGCCTGACCTAAGCCATGGTATTTTCAATAACCTCATGTACATGCGAAAGCTCAACAGTGAATAAGTAAGACTGTACAAGAATTGATACATTTGAGTTGGAGGAGAATATTGAATGTGCCATGGACTGCCAAAAGAACAAGTAGATCTGTGTTACATGAAGTACAGATGGTGTGCTCCTTGGAAGCCAGGATAGCCAGACTTCGTCTCTCATACTTTGGACATATTGTCAGGAGGGACCAGTCACTGGAGAAGGATATCATGTTTGGTGAAGTGAAGGGTTGGAGAAAAAGAGGAAGACAAGATGGATTGGCACAGTGGCGGCAGTGATGGGCTCAGGCATGGAAACATTTCTGAGGTTGGCCCAGGACCAGACAGTATTTCATTCTGTTGTGTATAGCATCACTATGAGTTGGAACTGACTCATGGCACCTAAAAACAACAACTCTCTAGTTAGTGATTTACCGTCTTTTCTCCACCCTTTCCTGGTACCCATCATCTCTGATTATTCAGAAATCCATTCACTGCCTAGCAACCTATCTGAATTTCCATTTTTACTTTTTCTGGCTCAGAACAAGTAACAAGGTAAAAAATAACTAGTAGTCATTGCACACATACTCCTGACAGGCAAACACCAAATAACATGTGTTAATATATTGTGTAAATACATAAAGTTTGGTTTTTATTTTTTAATTTAAAAGCACTGGAGAAGATGAAAGAGCCCTGGTGGTATAGTAGATTACACATTGGGCTGCTAACCACAAGGTCAGCAGTTCAAATCCACCAACCACCCCACAGGAGAAAGATGAGACGTTCTGCTCCTGTAAAAGATGTATAGTCTCAGAAACCCTATACAGGATTGCTCTGAATAGGAACTGACTCAATGGCATACAGCCACCGCTACCACTGGAGGGTTGCTATTGTTGTTAGGTAGCATCGAGACAATTTTCAACTCACAGAGACCCAAGTACCCGAACAAATCTTGAAGAATACACATCAAACCTTTGAATAGTCATCTCTGAATGATAGGATTTGGTGCACTTTTTACTTTTCTTTCTTCTTTCATATATTGTCTAATTTATTTTATACAATGGTTATGTACAAAGGTAGGGCTCAGGGAAAAAACCCACAGGAAGATTTTCACGTAAGTGATGTATTTAAATGGCAGATGACTATTTTGGGTAAGACAGTAATGAAATGTATTATAATGTAGACAAATTCTGGAGAGAATCAGAACCAAAAAACCACAGTATTTTTTTCATTCACTTTTTACGCTGATTCATTTATTCCAAGCCTTATCAATTGTGTAATTAATCCAGTTTTGATTCTGTACCCAGTGTCCATTGATCATTTTTTAATCTGAACATTTTCTCTGCACAAAGAGTGGCCTTAAAGAGTATCTACTTACTCGTCATCACACATGGAAGAAATAAAGTCACTAACAGAAGAAAGTTGCACATTTCCATTAGGCCTCTGCTCTTCCGGGCCATCTTTAGTGAATTCAAGTTGACTCTGTGGGGGGTGGGGGGAAGAGTGCAGTTGGTGCTGTACTTTGGTCTATACTGAGTTTATGAACCTTTCTACTCTCTATTAGACATTTTAAATCAAGTCCCAGGTGAGTTAACCCAACTATAACGGTATTACTTCTAGTTTTTAATTAAACAACTGTGTTCTGAATACTAAGTTCAAAGTTCTTTTAGTACTAAGGGAATTTGTTTAAGGTAAAAAGAAAGCCAAAGGAAATCAGCTGTAAGATATGGAGCAACCCCAGGGAAAATAAAGCCAATCTTCCCTAGATAAATTGAAAGAAGATTATTTTAGCAAACAGAGAAGTGAGACTTTCTTCATTCTCCATATGATCACTGCTGAGCAAAGTAATTTTTGTTTTGAAGGTACTTCTGGGTCATTGTTATAAACTCTGATAAAACAGAGTTTTTAGAACTCTTCCAGAATCCATGAGATTCAAATGGTGTCTCTTAGAAAAAAAGATTCAAGTCTTAATGGTGGTGTATAGTTTTACACCATGTTAATCTCTTGGCTTAACTGTTTCCTTCTCAGAACTTTCCTTCTCTTTGACACAGTATAGACTAAATGTAATAAATAATAAAGGCCTCCTTTCTCCTTCTTGTATGCCTTTGTTCCTGAAGGTGTTCTCCACTGTCACATGGGAGAAACATATTCATCATTGCCTCTCAAGATTAACTACTATGAACATAGCAGAAATACATATGGAATGCTTTCTAGTGCTAGGCACTATGTTAAACACTTTACAGATATGAATTCAATTTCAATTGAGCCTCACAACACACCCACTGAGATCTATTCCAATGGTTTAGAGAGATTATATAATTTGCCCACGATCCCTAAAATAACACATGTCAAGATTAGAATTCAAACCCAGGACTCCCAACACCATGCTCTTACTACCCTACTGTCTAGATTAATGTCCTCTTCCTTTAAGAAGCCACTATGGATCCCTTCCAACTTTGACCAACTCCACAAACCTTAGTAACTGAAAATGTTGTCCCATTAACACAAGTGCTTTTAGCAGTTGCAGCATACCTACGACTTCTTTGGCTCTCTTCGACTCCTCCCCTCTCATAGGCATGTTGTGACAGGAACAAGTTTCATTCCTGCCAGGCTCACCCTTTTCTGGCTGGAAAGCCTACATCAGTCTTTTAATGACATACAATTAAGTCCGATACCGATTCTTCTGTAATTTAAAATTTTTGTCCAAAAGATTTCTATCAGTGTTACAACAGTGAGGATTTCAGAATTTGGTTATCAATAGTGTTGTCTCAGACAGTGTATACTGTAGGTGCTCAATAAAAATTGAGAGTGTAAATCTCTTAGCAGACCTCAACTGATGTCTCTCCTTTGCTTCCACCCACCAAGACAACAACTTTTCTAAGTTTCCCTCACCTGATTTGTCTTTACTTCTCGCAACTCTACTTTCTGGGCAAAACAAAGTCTTATCACTTACCTGCTGAGCTCGGAAACCCCAACTTCCTTGACCAACTGTTCCTCTGTCTGGAACCCTGAATCCTTTCTCTGTTACCCTCTTTTATAATACTTGGATTTAAACACTTTATGATAGCAAGGTCAAGTGAATAAGGTAGATTGGGATCAAAGTCTATTTCTCTTTATGGATTCTTAGAGAAGACAGTAAATTGGGAAAGACATCTTCTTAAGGTCTAAGCTTTCATGTGTACTGAGGTTACTAGGTGGGGCCAGATATTACTAACAGGGATGTAATTGTTCCAAGAAACCCTGACCTTGTGCAAAAATGTGTACTGCATCTCACTGAACATTGTCATTCTCATTAGATGACTGGACTTTGATAACCTGATAGCCTGGGAACTGGGATGGGCCAAGTCCAAGGAGAGGTTTGACTTTCACAGCTGTCATACACTGGAAGATTCCACATGACTTTAATAAAGCAGGAGAAGTATTACAACTGGTAATCCAAGCCCAGTGTGTAAACTGTACAAAGCCCAGGCTTGGTAGGGGGAAATTTTATTCTTTTGAGGATCCAGTGTGGTTGGGGAATCTTTTGCATTACACTTTCAAGAATTAACAATCAGTGGTGGCATTTAAACATTTTTTTTATTGTGAATTGTGTGAAGGTTTACAGAACAGAGCATCAGTTTTACATCCAACAATTCACACACATTTTGCTTCATCTCATTGATTACAGTCCCTCATATAACATCACTTATCTCACATCCTCCCCTTGTTTCCTATATTCATTGCTTCTTTTTTCCTAACCCTTCCCAACTTTGTCTTTGGGGTGATAACAACAGTGTTATAACAATGCAAATGTTAACTTGCTTCCATTTGTGAAAGAAAAACATTAATGGCTATCCTTACATTTTAGCACTCTGTTTAAGCTCTTGGGAAACTCATCTCTTTCTTGCTGTGTGACTTTAAAAAACATTATTTAACCTCTATGAACCTCAGTTTCTCTGTCAATACAATGGGAATAATAGTTTTGTCCCCATAGAATCACTGTGAGGATTAAACAAAAGAAAACCTGTCATGTTGCCACACAAGAAACTCTTAATAAGTGGTTTGTTGTTGTTAAGTACCATGGAGTCAGCTCAGACTCATAGAGACCTTGTATAGGTTTCCTAGACTATAAATCTTCATAGGAACAAAAAGCCTCATCTTTCTCCCATGAAGTGGCTGGAAGACTTGAACCGTCAAACTTGTGGTTTGTAGTCCAATGTTTATTCTACATAGTCACATTATTATTATTATTATGTGCTGGGTAAACCAAAACCCACTGCTGCCGAGTCAATTCCAATTCCCAGTGACCCTTCAGGACACATTAGAACTGTCCCGCAAAGATTCAAAGGCTGTACATCTTTATGGAAGCAGACTGCCACATCTTTCTAAAGCAGCTGGTGGGTTCCAGCCACAGACTTTTTGGTTAGTAGTTATGCTGTTTAACGGTTGTTCCACCAGGATTCCTCATATGCTGAATTTGTTCAGTGCCTTGGAGTTGGTTCATAGAGACCCTGTATAGAGTATCCAAGGAGCTGCTGGTGGGTTTGAATTGCCAACCTACAGCATCGTATCAGGAGTCTGCTATATGCTGGACAGGGCCTAATAAATAAACACAGTCTTACTATAGCATTGTTCTAGAAGCATCGTAGTTCCTGCTGGCTGGTTTGCAAGTCCCACCTAAGCAGATTTTTAGTTTACTGCTTCAGTCTGGATCCCAGAGCAATGCATTTTACTATTATTTAGTTAAAGGAGTTTCCTAATGGATGGGTGTTTGGGTTCAGGTTTCTTCCAAAGCAGACCTGAGACAAAGCTTTGGTGTAAGTATGTTTAAGAGGTGATCTCAGGAAACATAGTAAGCAAGTGAGATAGTGAAGGAAGGAAAACTAGTTAAGAATATGTTGGTGCTCGAGCCAGCCACAGCAGAGAAGACTTT